CTCGCGGCGGGGAGCACCCCCGCTCCCCACGCGTGGGAGTGAATCCAGGGTGCAGCAGTGACAACTGGCCCACCCTGCCCTGTGCTCTGCAGGCCGGAAACTGCTGCAGGAAGCAAACCCCTTCCTAGCGCTGCAGGGCGGGTCCGCGGGCTCCTGGAGCTGGCTCTCCGAGGCGCTGCTCCAGCAGCAAACACAGGGCCCTGGTTGCCCCGGGGGTGGAGAGAGGCTCGCTGGGGGCGTGGGTGGGGCGCAGGGGTGGGGGGGCGCCATCCCGCTAGTACGGGCTGGCAGGACTCCCGCACCACTCTCTCCTTCCTTCTTCCCTTGCTGAGTGGCTATTGGCTGGGTGCCCCCGGTGTCCCAGAGGTGGGCAAGGGCCCTGGGGAGCCAGTGGGGAGGAAAGCAGGCTGGCGACAGAGTGCGTAAGCAGATGAACACGCGTGACACCCTCGTCCGTGACACCCTCGTCCGTGACACCCCATCCCAGATCAACTGCAGACCAGCAGCGGGTGGCCTGTCATTTTCCTTCTTGTACCAAGAAGCAGATTCAACAAAATTTACCATTTTCGCTCTCTTTTTAAAGATTTTATTTATTTATTTTTGCATAGAAGAACTGGGGTGTAGGCCAGAGGTGGGGGGGGTGAGAGGACTCCCCAGAGACAGAGCGGGGAGCAGAACAGTAGGATCCACTGAAACCCACTGCTGAGGGGGCAGCGCGGAGACAGGAGGGGTCTGCTGCGCCCTGGGGGTCGCTCCCTGGCCGGGGATCAAACTCAGTCTTCCGTGACGACAGCCTAAGGCTTAACCTTGGCTACCAGGGAGGCCCCACCATTTTCACTCTTTGAATGTGTCCAGGCCAGTGGCATAAGCATGGTCTCAGTGTTGCACAGCCGTCACCATCATCTTCCGGAAGCCTTTCTTCTTCCCACACTTTGCTAAACACTAACTCTTCTTCCCCTGCCCCACCACATCTACTGTCTGTCTCTGTGAATCTGACTCCTGGAGGGACCTCACCTCTGAGGAACCAGACAGCAGCTGTCCTTTGCAGGCCGGCTTCTTTCACGGAGCACACTGTCCGCCAGGTTCACTCATGTTGTGGCGGGCATCCACCTCCACCCTTTTTCCTGGCCGAATAATATTCCACCGTGTGGGTGAACCGGTCATCCGATTCAGCTGTCAGTGGACACCTGGTGGCTCCACCTTTTGGTTGTGATAACACTGCTGCAAACCTTCACGGACAAACATCTGCTCAAGTCTCTGCTCTGCTGGCTTGCTCTTGCTCACTGAGAGATGTCCTAGGCGGTGTGTGACTGTGCTGATGCTGTCCAGATTATCTCCCTGTAATCTTTACAGCAGCCTTTAGACGCAGAGATGCTCGTCATTCTTTTTTTTCCCCTGAGGAGTCTCAGCCTCAGAGACTTGCATTGAGGTTGCCTGGCTGCCTGGAGCCGGGGTGGCATCACCGTCTTGTATGTTGTGTCTGCCACACACCCTGGCACTCTTGCTGGTCCTGGTGCCCCAGCTGCAAGGCCTCTGCCCCCGTCTCTATCCTGTCTGTCTCCTGAGCTGCCTTTGGCTAGAATAGCATCAGGGTCTTCAGCTGCATGGCCACTGGTTTTCACGGGTTGCATGCAGCAGTCATTCTGCAAGCTTTCTAGAACAGCGCTGCTCTGGTTCTACCATGTCTGCTTCTCATCTCCAGCTGGGACGACTGTCATGGGTGTTTGCTGGCTCAGTCAGCAAACTCTGAGCAGTTTTACCAACAGCTGGCAGACCCACGCTGTGGAATACTACTCAGCCAGGAAAAGGAGTGGCTCCTACAACAACCTGGCTGAAGCTGGAAAACTACAATGCTGAGTGAGCGAGGGGACTGGGCAGAGACTCAAACCCAGGCCCCGAGGGTGTGTCACTCCATTTTTATGGGATGTCAAGAAAGAGCAAAACCCATAGGGACACAAGGTGGACCAGTGCTCACCTAGGGCTGGAGAGGGGAGGATGAGGAGTGACTGAGAACGAGCGTAGGTTTCTCTTTGGGGTGATAAAATGTTCTGGAATTAGCTGTGTGTTGCACAACTCGGAAAACGCACTCAAATCGTTGAACAGTGTACTCCGCAACGGCACATTTAGGGTTGAGATTTGTCTCCATTTAAAAAGAAAGCTGAGGGGAGTGAGGGGCTTGATACCTATCTGCTAGGGGGTCGGTGAAGGAGGTAGCCAGGAGGGTGCACCTTGGATGCTGGCCCCCCCCGAAGTCAGAGGTGTAGCAGGAGGGGAGTGCACCTTCGGTGCGGGTCCCCGGAAGTCAGAGCCCCCCAATCCAGCGTGCACCCTGGAAACGGAAGGGTAGGCGCTGGGCGGGTCCTTGTGGGCAGCGAACTGCTCCATGCGGTGCAGGCTTTGGGCATAGCACTGGTTCCAGCCTCCTTGAATTTGCCTGAGGACGAGCAGGAGGGAGGGAGGTGCGGAGGGAGCAGCTGTCAAGGGATTAGCAGAAATAGCTTTTCTGTACTTTACTGAATCTCGTTCTTTTTTAAAATTTAAATTTATTTAGCAAGAGCTTATGCGGCTTGCCGAGTGCCAGACTCTGTTCTGAGCGCGCCACAGGAAAGGGGTCCTTCAGTGCCCCCACACGCAGGCAGGGCGCCCCTTTCCTTGGCCTCCTTTTCACAGATGAATTAAGGACTCAGCGACTCACGCAAGGTCACCAGCGGGGAGGAGGCTGGGCACATTCAGGCCCAGGCCCAGGGCATGTGCGGTGAGGGCCTCTGTGCTGGCCTGCGCTCATTCGCCACACAAGGGCCTGCTGACGGGCAGCTAAGTGCTGGTCTTTTTGAAAGCGCTGGCAACTCAGCTTGGGGTGGGGGGGCATGACTACTTCTGGCTTCTGCAGTTGGGTGCATGAAGGAAGGAGACAGGCCCAGCACAGCGCTCCTTGGAAGATTCTGTAATTGCTCCTGGTGACCCGGCTCGGAGCTGGGCAGTGGGCGAGGAAGCCGGGGCCGTGTGGCTGCAGGGCCCCGGGCTGTGAGCCGAGTGTGGTCCATGTGGGTTTTTGCAGCCTGGCGACCCTAGAGGCGTCCTGGGGCCTTTCCATGCCTTGACCTAGCCCGGCCTGCACGAGCGGGCTCTCGCCTGGGACCAGCTGTCCTCAGCGGTCAGGCTGGGCCATCCTTCTGCGGCCTCCCGGCAGAAGGGCCGTAACCGAATCCTCTGCTGCCCTCGTCCCTGAGGCGCCCAGCTATGTGCTCAGCAGCGAGACGCTCCGGCCTGAGGTGTGGGGACAGGGGTGGCCGCAGGGGCCCGGGCAGGGCCCGTGCTGTGCTGGTGGCCCAGGGCCGAGGCGTGTGTTTAGGGCAGTGAGACTCGGCATGTGCAAAGCGCCACACTTGCCAGGGCCTCCGAGGGCAGCTGCCCGTGTGCCAGCCCTGCTATTTACCAGCTGCGTGATGCTGCTCAGGCCACTCCGGCTTCCTGAGCTTCAAGCTGCTCATCTACAAAGTTGGGGGAAACCAGGCCCTGGTGCAGACTGGCGGGTGGTGCCCGTCCACACAGGGGCAGCGGTGATGACTCAAGACCCCACAACCGAGGGTGTCTCTGCAGGAACGGGCACTGGGTCCTTACGAGGGGCCTGCGCCTGACCACAGGGACTGCGGTTCTGCCGCTGGAGCTGGGGTTGCCATGGCCTGCTGTGGCCACAGGGAAAGCTGGCCGAGCCTGTCCGCCGCTGACCCACCCCTCCCCGGCTCCCCGTCACCTGAGGCTCCAGGTGGGGCTCTCCTGAGGTCTTGCAGGGTCTGCACGACAGGGAGTCGCAGGGAGCTCAGCACCCTTGGTCCCCGCGTGTCCAGGGTCCAGGGTGTCACGCCTGCCGGACCCCTGCCTCGGGGCTGGTCGGCCGCTGGCAAGTGTGTCTGCCGGTCATCATTTTCTTATTAGTCCCCTGAATGCGTCAAGAAGGGGTGGGGGGCACAGCTAAGGGGTCTGCGCAGCCCTCCTTCCGAGCCCAGGCCTCCCTCCCAGTGCCACAGGCGAGCCAGGTCAGGGCTGAAAGGCGAGCCTGGGCCATGAAGGCGGCAGCTGAAAGGCAGGCACAGGGAAGGGGCGGCCTGCAGGGGAGGGGCGGGGAGGGCGCCCCAAGAGGAGGGACAGCCCTGCGAGCCCGAGCACAGCGGGACCAGCATCCTGCCGGCTGAGAGCGGGTCAGCTTCCAAGTGGATGGACAGCGGGAGGCAGCTTGGTGGGTGCAGGGCTCTGGCCTGAGGGCAGCCCCCCCCTCCACCCACCTGCTGGGCAGCTCCTTCCTGTGGAGAAATGTCTGCTTGCATGGAAAGCGGGTCCAGGAGCCAGACCACAGAGCGGGGCCGCCGCACAGGACACGTCCACTTACGATGGGAAGCCGTCCCTGCTGAGCTGGCCTTGCAGGGCCCGGGCACACCCAGGGCGCCCCACGCCGCCGCCCCCCACGGGGCCGCCTCCCCACCGGCAGCAGGGGCTGGGGCGCGTGTGCGTCCTCCAAGCCCGCGCTATTTTCGGATGTCGGAGCTGGCCCTGATCCGTGCCACGTGGGCCCCGGGCACACCCCAGGCCGGGCAGGGCCGCGACAGCCGCACGGGGCCAGCGGCCGGGTACCGCCCTCTCGGTCCTTTCCCCTCAGTGGCCTCACGAAACCCCAAGGACAGTGCGGCGGCTCGCCTGGCCCTGGTCCGCCTGATGTGGGCGGGTTCCTGCGAGCCCGGCAGGCTGAGGGGACCCTGCTAGCCCCCTCCCCGGCAGTGATGTTGATTTTGTTGAATTCTCCCGACCCAAAGATGCCTTCTTTTAAAGCCGCTCCTCCGTCTGAGGGTGAAGCTGGGCTGCAGCGTCTGCGGGGCGCGGCGGCAGGTGGGGGCACCGGCGGGACAGCCCGCAGCAGCGGGGAGGGCGGGGTCCCGCGCGAGCTGCTCGCACACCCCTCGGCGGAATCGCGGCCACAGCAACCGCCCGCCCCGTCCCGTCCCCAGGCCTACGAGAAGCGCTTCCCCACCTGCCCGCACATCCCCGTCTTCCTGGGCAGCGACGTCCTGCGGGAGTCCCGCAGCGCCGAC